GGAGAACTAAGCACGCAAACACTTCTCATTCACCCCTGGGTGGCCAGTTAAGTCCAAAGCAGTGCAAATAACCGTCCTTATCCCCTGCACAAGGGCAGGAGCGACCTTGGGCAGCGTCCTTGCCCCTTCCTCACTAAGTATCTATTCCCACTGAGCGAGACTCGTTTCCCTCTGTTCCTCTCTGTCTAGGCAAAAGCTATCAAAGGCTACTTGATCTGTTGGTCAGAACAAAGCCTTAGCTGTCACTCCAAGTGCCTCTACTTCTCTGTGCACATTCACATTCCTTTCCAAAGCACAGACTTGTGATTCCCTTGCACGCCTTCACTAATCTGGGGAAACTCTACAACTCTTCTACCTCTGTGTGCCTTTCTAGACCTTCTCCTGGGCTTCTGACAGCCAAGGCTGGCAGCAATACCGTAGGATTCAGATACAATTGCAATATGTTGGCTATATGTATTAAACTTGTTTTGATTACTATCTGAGACTGAAGGAATTTAATTCTTCCTTATGAAGTATAACCTGGCATATGCTGCTGATATATCTATACAGTGGGAATCTTTACTGGCTACAGGAGTCTTGCCCTGCTGGACTTGCTGATGGACTTGAACTGACTTCTAGTCATGGGCAAGATGTGTGTTTGTTAGGAGTGTCCTGGAAAAGGTTGGGTGGGGTAGATGAGCTGCTCTGGAATGAGTTAAATCTTTTGGAGAAAGCCTGCAGTGTCTCATGATACTGCTGCCAGGAATAGCATGGGGAAATGTTCCTCCCCTCTCTCCTGAGGCTTGCCTAAAATGTGTGATTTGAGTTGCTGAACTTACGGCCCTTTGGCCTTGTGAGACATGGTTTGAGGTGAACTTTGCACTTTTAAAACTAAACCACCCGTGAAACCTTCCTGCTGTTCCTGAGCTTTGCTCCGACTGCACAGAGCTCTTCGGTAGGTGCAATAACCTGACTTGCTTTTGCCAGGACTTGACAGAGATGTGAGACTTGCAGGTAACTTTTAATCTAGTCTGTCTGTGTCTGCTGCCAAAAGATACTCGGCTTCAGATGACAGAAACAGTAAATTAATGATTTGGCCAGTGCTGAATGAAACTGGGTACGTGTCCGGGGCTCTTGTTATTACAAACCCTGCATCAGAGCGTAGCCTCAGGAGGGCTGCGAAGAGTGGAGCTGGGGCTGCCAAGCTCTGAGGGCTGCTGCTTCCTCAGCCTCTCTTGGCCGAGCTTGGGAGCGTGGAAGGGTATGTGTGGAGAAATGGTGCTTCATGAGCTCTCCACCTTGTCCTGCACCTGATTTGAGAACTCATTGCTGAACCTCGGCGCGGGGTCTGGCAAGGGCAAGTGAAGCCGTGAAGATGAGGGTTGTCTCTTGTGCTGGAAGGCACATAGAATCATAGAATCATAGAATGCTTAGGGTTGGAAGGGACCTCTAGAGATCATCTAGTCCAACCCCCCTGCATATGCAGGGACACCTAAAGCCCGGAGGGCCGTGACTCCGCGTGGAGGAGGCGTCACTGCTTCCCAGGACTGCAGGTGTGTGCGGAATGACGTAGCGCCAGGATCGCGCTGGCCTCGCTGTCCCGCCTGACTGCAGCTGGGCGGGAGCACCGTGTGCTCCACGCTCGTGTTGGGCTCCCAACGCGGAGGCTGTTTCTCCAGCGGCCAGCGACGCTTCGGCTAATCCCGCTGGCCCTTGTGATCGTGTCACAGGGCTGACACGCGACCGGAGGGCTGGCAACCCCTTAGATGCGGGTGGTCGGCGGTGAAGCGGGGCTCTGGGCCCAGGCTGCGAGAAGGGAACATGCCCACCGGGCAGGAGGCTGCGGATTCCCGATTGGAACGGGAGGAGGTGGCGTGAAGGAGCGGGTCGGGGCACGCGCGGCCCCGCGCGCTCCGCCCGTGACGCACTTTGCGGAGCCGCC